AGCCGGTCTGTCCTCACTGGGTTGCTCTGTAGCGTATCCCCAAGCATGTGCCAGACCTTCATCCTCCGTCTCCATCCTCCTCGCTGCCTCTGCTAACCCCTCTCCCTGCCTCCAGTTCCCTCCCAGCACCAAGAGCTTCCAGGAGGCGCAGAGCCAGCTGAACCGGGCGGCCGCGGGGCTCAACCAGTCCGCCAACGAGCTGGTGCAGGCGTCGCGTGGCACCCCTCAAGACCTGGCCAAGTCCTCCGGCAAATTTGGGCAGGACTTCAATGAGTTCCTGCAGGCGGGTGTGGAGATGGCCAGCCAGTCCCCGGTGAGTGCACACACCCGTTAAAACCGCAGTGGCAGGGAGAAAGTGGCTTGGGTTTGTTCGGCAAGCGTTGCCGCAGTATCCTTGCTGTTGACGGACGAGTTGATGAAGGGAACCAGCTCAGCTTGAAAACCGCTGGAGAAGACACGGGGTGGGCGTGGACCTTGGAAACCTGCTGCAGGGAACTCTTCTTGGCTCCTTGCAGAACAAGGAAGACCAGGCGCAGGTGGTGTCGAACTTGAAGAGCATCTCCATGTCCTCCAGCAAGCTGCTGCTGGCTGCAAAGGCTCTCTCTGCTGACCCTGCAGCCCCCAACCTCAAAAATCAGCTGGCGGCAGCGGCACGGTAGGAGGAACTGCTCCCTGTGGGCTGTTTGCTGTAGCAGTGGGGCCGGGTGGCAAAGCTGATCCGTGGGTCTTTCTCCCCTGTCCCCGGCAGGGCTGTGACCGACAGCATTAACCAGCTGATCACCATGTGCACCCAGCAGGCGCCGGGCCAGAAGGAGTGTGACAACGCCCTGCGGGAGCTGGAGGTGAGAGGCCACGTCTTGCCGAAGCGTTGGAGGGGCTGAGGCGGCTGGGTGCTGAGGTGGTGGGCGGGGGGGCTGCACCCTACTGCGAGGGGCAGGAGTGAGCAAAGAGGAGATGCAAGCGGAGGGCACAGACTCTTCCTTGGATGTGACACCTGTGTCCCTGCAGACGGTGAAGGAGCTGTTGGAGAACCCCACCCAGACCGTCAACGACATGTCCTACTTCAACTGCCTTGACAGTGTCATGGAGAACTCCAAGGTGAGCCCTGAGCCAGGAGTGGAGGTTTGGGGAAGGATGGGGAGGATTTGGGAAAGATGTAGGGGCAAAGGGAAAGGTGGTTCCTCCCCTGCTGATGAAGCACAGCAAGCTCTCAGCCTGGGAGCACTGCAGGAGCAGGAGGTGGTCTGCATAACCGATGCGTGGTGTGTCCCACAGGTGCTGGGCGAGTCCATGGCTGGCATCTCCCAGAATGCCAAGAACAGCAAACTGCCCGAGTTCGGCGACTCCATCAGCGCCGCCTCCAAAGCTCTCTGTGGGCTGACAGAGGCAGCTGCCCAGGTGAGATGCTCTCAGTCCCAGCCTTGGGCATTACCCTCTCCCCTGCCCCTCCAAGCCTGGCCCCGTGGGATTGTGCTGCCAGCCTCCTCCGCAGCCCGTGCCTGCTCTGAGCCTCCCCGCCGTGTGTGAGCTCTCACTGCCTCTCTCATGCTCCTAGGCTGCCTACCTCGTGGGGGTCTCAGACCCCAACAGCCAGGCTGGACAGCAGGGCTTGGTAGACCCCACTCAGTTCGCCAGAGCTAACCAAGCCATCCAGATGGCCTGCCAGAACCTGGTGGACCCTGCCTGTACCCAGTCCCAGGTAAGTGTTTCTTGCACAAAAGGGGGTGAGGCTAGTGGGAAAAGCTGTGTCCCAAGCGTTGGCCGAGATTATGGCTAGTGTCTCGTCAGACCCCATCAGCTGTACTGGGAACCAGCTGGCAGCTTCGGTGCGATGGTGACAGTCCAGATAAGGGGGGCTGTATGGGCATGCAGGACTTCGGCGATCTTTTTTGGGTCCCCAGTGACCCCTGTGGTCACTGGTGCCCCACGCGGTGGGAAAGGAGAGCTGCGGGGATGGGGACATGCGATGGGTCCTGCCTCACCCCTCTCTTCTCTGCAGGTGCTTTCAGCAGCCACCATCGTAGCGAAGCACACCTCGGCCCTGTGCAACACGTGCCGCCTGGCCTCCTCCCGCACCGCCAACCCTGTGGCCAAGCGCCAGTTTGTCCAGTCGGCCAAGGAGGTGGCCAACAGCACAGCAAACCTGGTGAAGACCATCAAGGTGCGGTCTCCCTGCCGAGGCACAGTGGTGGATATGGGTTTTGGGGCATGGCAGGGGCTGGATGACTACCCTGGTCTCTCCACACCAGGCCCTGGATGGTGAGTTCAACGAGGAGAACCGGGAGCGGTGCCGTGCTGCCACCGCCCCTCTCATCGAGGCCGTGGATAACCTGACAGCCTTTGCCTCCAACCCGGAGTTTGCCACCGTTCCTGCCCAGATCAGCCCGGAGGTGGGATGCTACAGGGTCAGGGAGGACGTGGCCTGGCCACGATGGGGGCTGCCAAAGGGTGGTGAGGAGCTGTGCCTCCCTCTGAGCTTGGGATGGAGTCCCGGTGCGGGGCTGGTGCCTTTTGGGGGTGTGATGGGGAGGTGGCAGCAAGCCTTAGGCTTCGAAGGGCTGCTCAAGGGTGAGGGTCACGGGAGAGGGAGTAACTTCGCATGCACAGTCCCTTGCGCACCTCACCAGCCCATCGTCTCCCTGTGCAGGGGCGCAGAGCCATGGAGCCCATTGTCTCTTCAGCCAAGACCATGCTGGAGAGCTCTGCTGGCCTCATCCAGACTGCCCGCTCTCTGGCCGTCAACCCCAAGGACCCGCCGCAGTGGTCGGTGCTGGCTGGCCACTCTCGCACCGTCTCAGACTCCATCAAGAAGTTGATCACCAACATGAGGTGAGGAGAGTCCTGCCCACTTGGCTGTGGCCCCATCGCTGCTGGCAGGTACCCCTGCTCCGAGCGAGCGTGCCCGGGAATGTTTTGGTTCATCATCTCCTTGGCCGCTGCCGGCAGGGGATGGGACAGAAGATGCCATCCCTCTTGTCCTACATGGGAGCTGCTCCTCCAGCCCTGGTGTCTGTTGATGGGAATACGTGCTGGCATGCTTGGGGTCTATGACACCAGGTTACCCCAAGCCTGGGAGAGGGGTTCTGCCCCTCACCAGCACCAACCGAGGCTGAGGGCAAAGGTGTGGCGTAGCACCTGCCAGCGCTGGTCTGATCCGTCTGTCACGCAGGGACAAAGCTCCAGGACAGCGGGAGTGCGACGAGGCCATTGAGGTGCTGAACAGATGCATGCGGGAGGTGGACCAGGCCTCCCTCGCTGCCATCAGCCAGCAGCTGGCCCCCCGAGAAGATATCTCCCAGGAGGTGGGTTGGGGACGCGCTGCTGCAAGCTGAACGGGGATGGACATCCTTCCCCCTGGCTCCCAGCAGCGCGTGGTGACCCCAGCCCTGCTGCAGCTTCACGTGACTCCCTCTCTTTGCAACAGGCTTTGCACAACCAGATGATCACGGCTGTCCAGGAGATCAGCAACCTGATCGAGCCCGTGGCCAGCGCGGCGCGGGCTGAGGCCTCGCAGCTGGGGCACAAGGTAACACGGGGATGGGGAGCTGCTGATGGGGCACTCGGTGTGCATGGAGAAGCTCGTGGTGGGAGGAGAGGTGCGAGGCAGCCAGGGCTGGAAGCTGCTGGTGCTGACACACTTCTTCCTTAGGTGTCCCAGATGGCTCAGTACTTTGAGCCGCTCATTATGGCAGCAATTGGTGCTGCCTCCAAAACGCCCAACCACCAGCAGCAGATGAACCTCTTGGACCAGACCAAAACACTGGCCGAGTCTGCCCTGCAGATGCTGTACACGGCCAAGGAGGCTGGTGGGAACCCCAAGGTGAGCAGGAGGGGCACATGTCAGTGGCGTGCTCCCCTTCATGTGTGGGTGCTGCACGGTGCACATGTGTGTGCCAGACACAGGAACCCAAGGTAAGTGTGCAGCATCCCGGTCAGGAGGGGAGCCACTGCCCACCTTCCCTCACTCTGGCTCATCCTTGCAGCAAGCTGCCCACACCCAGGAGGCTCTGGAGGAGGCCGTGCAAATGATGAAGGAAGCGGTGGAGGACCTGACCACTACCCTGAACGAGGCAGCCAGCGCTGCGGGTGTTGTGGGGGGCATGGTGGACTCCATCACCCAGGCCATCAACCAGGTGAGGGGAGCGTGGAGAAGACCTGGCCAGGGCTGGGGGTGGGCCAGAGGAAGAGTCAGAGTCAAACCCTGCAAGGTGTTTGGGCTGGAGCTGGAATCTCCTGATGGTCTCTTGCAGCTGGATGAGGGTCCGATGGGCGAGCCAGAGGGGACCTTTGTGGACTACCAGACCACGATGGTGAAGACAGCCAAGGCCATCGCAGTGACTGTGCAGGAGATGGTGGGTACAAGCAGGCCTGTCACTGCAGAAAGTGCTGCCTGCCCCCCAGGCAGGTGACTGCCCTCCTTGCTTGCCTGTCCCAGTGTAGGGCCCCTCCAACTCCTGCTCTTCTTCCATCTGCAGGTCACCAAATCCACCACCAACCCGGACGAGCTGGGCATACTGGCCAACCAGCTCACCAACGACTACGGGCAGCTGGCGCAAGAGGCGAAGCCGGCTGCGCTCACGGCTGAGAACGAGGAGGTGCGAGCGCAGGGGGGAGTGCTGGATGTGATGAGGGGCAGATCAGGGTCTGCTGGAGCATGAGAGCAGAGGACAGGGACGCTCGAACCCTTGGAGATGGGGCCAGGCAACATTCACACCTCCCCTGCAACACGGTGTGGAAACGTGGAGCGAAGCCGTGTTTCCTTTTTCCCCCTCCAGAGTGGGAGGGTGAGGAGAGAGGAGCTGGGTGGAAGTGGTTGGCGTTTCCCAGCAGGTATCACGAGTGCAGGGCTTAGTTCCGTGCTGGCTTTCTCATGCATGTGTTCCCTTCCAGATCGGCTCCCACATCAAGCGCCGGGTGCAAGAGCTGGGTCACGGCTGTGCCGCTCTGGTCACCAAGGCTGGAGCCCTGCAGTGCAGCCCCAGCGATGCCTACACCAAGAAGGAGCTGATAGAGAGTGCGCGCAAGGTTTCCGAGAAGGTGAGTGGTCCAGAGAGAGGGGTGACAGCATGGCAAGGTGGGAGGGATGCTGATTTGAGCCATGTGCCCTTGGAGCTGCTGCCCTGGTCCTGTTCGGTTCTGCTGGCTCTCACAGCCGTGCTCATCCTGCCCAGCTGACAGGGTGGAGAATGGTTGGACTCGATCTTAGAGGTCTTTTCCAATCTGTGATTCTATGGATACCCCTTTCCAGGAACCAGAACAGCAGCTGGTGCTGTGGTGGGTGGGTGTGACGTCCAGGTGCTGCCTGCCGACGTGCTGATGGTGGCCTGCCAGGGGAGACTCATGTATGCACTGGTGGCAGACCAGGACTCTCTAAATCAGCTCTTGCAGCGGTGGGCATAGCACTTAGTGCATCTCCAGCGAAGCTTGCAGGTTGTACTGGGTGATCGATCTACCCCTCACCTTTTGCAGGCATGGTGGAAAGCGTCCTGTCCATCAGTCAGTCTGAAGAGCACACTTCTGAATAAAAACGTGGCTAAAACACTCAGTTGATAAGGGTAGAGCAGCAGTGCTTGTAAGCAAAATGACGAAAGCAAGACAAACTCTTGTTTATTGTGCCTGGCAAGTGCCTGCATGCTCAGGACCTCCTGCAGGTCCTTCCTTTCCAAGATTGCTTGCCATCAGGAAACTTGTTCTCCTGTGAGTGCTTGCCCAAGTGCAGAAATTGAGTTTAGGAGATAACGAAGGAATGGTTGTGATGTTCATCATGCAAACCTTATTCATTTGGAAACTGCCGTAGAGTCCAATATGTCCTGGACGCCCAAATATGATAGGTACGGGGTGAAAATAAATATCTGGAAGCTAAGAAAGGGCGTCCAGACCACATGATTCCCGGTTCCTCTCCTTGGTATGGAGTAGCTCTGTTCTGGAGGTATCAGAGAAGGTGTGTGCAGTGGGGGTTGCCTGAACCTGCTCTGCTACCCTAGTCACCGTACTCGTACCCCACAGGTGTCTCACGTGCTGGCAGCTCTTCAGGCTGGGAATCGTGGGACGCAAGCCTGCATCACAGCAGCCAGCGCTGTCTCTGGCATCATTGCTGACCTTGACACCACCATCATGTTTGCCACGGCAGGAACCCTTAACCGGGAGAACTCGGAGACCTTTGCTGACCACAGGTACCCAGGCACCTCGTCCATCCTCTGCTCAGCCAGAGATGGGAGGTCAGGCTCTGTTCTGTGGTCTGCTCTCTCTCTGAGCTGTGGACTATCCCCAAGGAGAGCTGCAAGCTCAGGTCACACTGATTCTGTTCCCCCTCCAGCTTGTACAAACAGGAGGCAGGGTCCACAATCTCTCTACACCCCAAGGATAGTGTGTGCCTGTAGAGGGCTGTGTCCCCTCTGACTCCCTTCTTCTCCCCAGGGAGGGCATCCTGAAGACAGCCAAGGCGCTGGTGGAGGACACCAAGGTGTTAGTGCAGAATGCCACAGCCAGCCAGGAGAAGCTCGCCCAGGCTGCCCAGTCCTCCGTGTCCACCATCACCCGCCTGGCAGAGGTGGTGAAGCTGGGTGCTGCCAGCCTGGGATCTGAAGACCCAGAGACTCAGGTGGGATGGGGTGTGTAGGATAAATAGAGGCTGCTCGTAGCTCGCTTGGAGGGGTTGAGGGTTGCGGGTGTTGTGTGGTGCTCTGGGCTGGATCTCACTTGTTGTGGAGAGAGCCAGCTGAGCTTTGGCTTCGGCTGGCTGAGCTGGACTCCCTGTGTGTTCTGGGGTGCCCAAATTTCTCACTGTACTGGTGGGCCACACCACCCCCAGTCTGGGTGTGACCGTAGCCAAGCTGTTGTCCTGGTCTTGCTTTCCCCAGGTGGTCCTGATCAATGCTGTGAAGGATGTGGCCAAGGCACTTGGAGACCTGATCGGTGCCACCAAGGCAGCTGCTGGCAAAGCTGGCGATGACCCTGCTGTCTACCAGCTGAAGAACTCTGCCAAGGTCTGAGCTGGGTTGTGATGGGAAGGGGGGGATGGGGCAGTGGGAGCTGGAGAAAGAGCAGGGGAGCTTCTCTGCCTGTCTGGGGGCAGGAGGACAACTGGGGGACAGTCAGGGCAAGAGGGCGGGAAAGGGCACGTAAAAAGTGGAGCACAGCGTGCAAAGGAGGCATTGGTGGGAGAACAGGATGAGGAGTTGTGAGCGGAGTATGGGGACAGGGCTGTTTTGCACCAAAACATGAGGGAGGGACAGGTGCCCACACCAGCCCAGAGCTTTCACGGGTCTTCACCTGGCTGTCTTTTTCCCATCCACAGGTGATGGTGACGAATGTCACTTCCTTGCTGAAGACAGTGAAGGCCGTCGAGGACGAGGCCACGAAGGGGACGCGGGCGCTGGAGGCCACGATAGAGCACATTCGCCAGGAGCTGGCAGTGAGTACAGCCGTGGTGCTGCAGCCCCTGTGCCTCCCGCCAGGGTCTCCACCCCAGAGGACTTCATCCGTATGACGAAAGGCATCACGATGGCCACAGCCAAAGCGGTGGCCGCTGGCAACTCGTGCCGGCAGGAGGACGTCATCGCCACGGCCAACCTGAGCCGACGTGCCATCGCGGATATGCTGCGCGCCTGCAAGGTGGGGAGGGCTCGAGACCTGGGTCCAGCAAAGCTTTTTGGGGGGCTGTGGGTGCCGTCAGCGATGGCGCTGGGTGCGAACTGGGGCTTCCCTGTCTCCGTCTTTCAGGAAGCCGCGTACCACCCAGAAGTGGGGGGGGACGTGCGTCAGCGGGCACTGCGCTTCGGCAAGGAGTGCGCTGACGGCTATCTGGAGCTGCTGGAGCACGTGCTGGTGGTGAGTGTCCCCGGCCCGGTTCCCAGGGTGGGCAGGGGCTGGGCTGTGGGTGCTCCCCAAATCCCCAAGGTCCTCTGGGCTCCGCACCTCCCGCTGAGGTCTTTGCACAGCCCCCTCCACTGCCTGTGCCGGCACAGCACGTGGGCGATCCCCTGCCGTGGAAGCAGATGACAGAGAGATGAACAGGCTCGGAAGAAAGGTATTTGGCCAACAACAGACAGAGATTAACTGGCTGTAAACAGATGGAGGCTGGAAATTCGACAACATGGGAGCAAAATCCTGAAGTAGCTTCCAGTGAAAGTGGTGGGTGGGAGTGAGAGACTTCAGGCAGTGTGAAAAGAGAGCTTGTTAAGCTCGCAGCAGAGTGGGAGATGGGCAGTGCCCATGACAGCAGAGGTGATGACTGCAGGCACCAGCTGCACCCTTTTGATTGGGTCTTCCTCTGTCTGAGCCCCACTGAGGACTTCAGCTGGCTGCTTTAATTAGCAGTCCTACAAGATGAGCATAGTTTACAAGAAGCAAATTAGTACTGCAGAGTGAGGTCCTTCCAGCGGTTTGCATTCTTGGCAAGATTGCAAAGGTGGAGTTGAGGGCACTGGAAGGATGCACAGACCCAGCCCACAGAGCTGCGAGAGCCCTCGAACCGGAGTCAAGACAAAGGTTGAGGGCGAGTCGGCTTTGTGGGAAGGTTTCACTGAGCTGGTTAGAAGGGCTTGGTGAGAGTGTGCTGTTCAGGCTCGCCGGATACTAGGTGGTGGAGCTCAGACTGTGGTTTCCTGCAGGGAAAGTGCCTTTAGGCAGAGGGTAACCAGCACTGACAGCGCAAAGAGGACGTGGGCAGGAATCAATGGCTAGAAATTGAAGCTGGACGGAGGGGAAGTCAAGGGGTGGTTCTATCCAAAGGAGGTAACCGCTGGGATACAGTTCCAAGGGGAACTTGGAGTTATCCATCCTGTGCATCTAGATCAAATGTCAGTCTGGAAGATGCTTCAGCCACACGTTAAGTCATGGCAGCCAAGGCTGGAGTGCTGAGGAGAAATTCTCTGGCTGACCTGTTGTTAACAGGTGATTGGGCTAATGACTTAGTATAGCAGTGCCCGAGGTCAGCCTACTTGCAGGAACATGCTATTCTGCTGGATTTTGGGTGTAACTGCCCAGCTGCTGTGCGACGTCTCTGGAGGATCATACCTTGGTACATCACATGAAATGTTCGCTGGAGGTGCATCTTAGTAAGCTTGTAGACTCCAGGCTGCCTTTGGCGGTGTTAAAACACGTTGTCAGAGCAGATAGAAGACTTAATAATGTGGTATTTAGTCCGGATGCGCTTATGAGGGCAAACCAGCCATCACTGCGTGCCATCGGCTCAGGGACTCCAAGCCACATGCAGGTCCGGTGACTTTGCTGGGATGGCCTCACACAAGTTCAGGATGAAGCCATGATGCCCCGCAGCTTCTGCAGCACTCTGGTTTGCAAAGGCAGGAATGAAGTTGGTGGGTCCCGTTTATCAGAGGCCAGCAGGTTCCTGGAGAGCTGCAAGCAGGAAGGATGTAGCAGAATGGGAGGGGAGATGGCGGACGCGATGCTGCCTCGCTCCCCGGCAGCAACAAGTCTGTTGCTGTACGCTGGGTCCCTGTGGGAACCAGTGCCTTGCACCATGCGTGAACAGGCGTGGTTAGGGTTCAAGAAAGAGGGTTATTTGACTCGGGATGGAAAGCGTGGCTCCCAGCAGAGGAGTGGGAAAGCCTGCATATTTCACTGGGGAGGGGAAGGAATTTGAACCTCCACAGGGACTTGGTCTCTCCCTTCAAAAACAGAGAGATCCAGCGGCTGAAAACCGCAGTCAAGTGATTCAGGGTGGGAAGAAATAAAGGTGCAAAGGGGAAGCGAGGAGGAGAGCAGCTCCATGGCTGCTCTGGGTGTAGGTGGCTCCTCCGGCCGCGGGATCCTCCTCCCAGTGCCCTGGCCCTGCGAGGATGAAGTATGAGCTAATGATGGGAGTACAGCTCCCCACCCGGGACCTCTGATCCTTCGCTCCCACCTCTCCTCTTGGCTGCCCTCCACCCTCCCTGGGAGAGCACCCACCTTCCCCTGCCCTCCCAGTGCCTGCTGACCTCAGCGCCCGCGTGTCCCGGCCGGGGCGTTCACTGCTTTCTTCTCTCTCTTCTCCCTCTCTCCTGTCAGCCGGTGAGTAAGGCGACGTTGGGGTGCCTGCTGGTGTCTAACCTCAGCATGAGCCTTGCTCACGGCGTGTCTGCGTGCCCAGCCCAGTGCTGGGGTGGCACTTGCGTGTGTCCAGAGGGACCCCAGGGTCCGTGTGTGTGCGTACGTACTCACACCCGCTCTAGCTGATGGGCAGCTCCCGCCTGTGCGGTGCGAGTCGGGACAGTGGTGAGCTCTGCTTGTGCGTACAGACCCTGTGTGTGTGCACACGTGTGTGCTGTGGTGTGTGCATGTGACCCCCTGACCCCGGTGAAGGACCCTCATGGCTCTGCCAGCTGCTTTGTCCCGGTGGGGCCAGCCTTCCTGGGCTGGGACATGGTTCCAGGGTCCCCTGGCTTTGCCCAGCTTGTGTTTGCAGACAAATCTCCGAAGTGGGGATGGCGAGGGGGAAATGTTTCTGGAGCTTACAGTTCTTTGGAGGGGGGGAGAAATCCTGAAGAGGGTAGCTGCTGCGTGCAGCAAGGCTTGCGCTGAGGATCTTGTGTCTGCAAGATGTCCCAGAAGCTGTGGACGCAGCAGGGCTGAGGGGAAACTCATCCCGTCTGCAGGCAAGAGGAGGCCAGCCAAGGTCTCTCGAGAAAGCATCACAGACAACGCCTGATGTGTGCATATGTGAGGGGAGCTGGGGGATCCCACCCTCATTCCTTGGGGAGCGCACCCCAAACAGACCTATGAGGTCCCCCTTTCTCCCGTGCTTACATCTTCCCCACAGATCCTGCAGAAACCGACTCACGAGCTGAAGCAGCAGCTGGCCGGCTACTCCAAGCGCGTGGCCAGCTCCGTCACCGAGCTCATCCAGGCAGCCGAGGCCATGAAAGGTAAAGAAAGGTCCTGCTCACAGGAGCAGGACCAAGGGCTGGGATTAGGGTGGAGAGCTCAGCAGCTGATGGAGGAGGTAGAGCAAGTCAGAAATCGGGCTGCACACGGGTCTGACCTGCCTCGCTTCCCGTGTTTTCTAGGGACCGAGTGGGTTGACCCAGAAGACCCCACTGTCATCGCTGAGAATGAGCTGCTGGGGGCAGCGGCTGCCATTGAGGCTGCAGCCAAAAAGCTGGAGCAGCTGAAACCAAGGGCCAAGCCCAAGGTAGTGGTGCTGAGCCCTGGCTGACCCCCATGCTCAGCTTGCACTGTGCTGGGGCTCTCCTGCCTGTGCTTCAGCCAGATGTGAAGCCCCATCTGGCAGCTCGTCCCACTTCCTGCGCTCCTGCTGCCTCCCACATCCCCAGCTGGACCTTCCTCGGGCAGCCCGTGCCCTCCTGCAACCCCACAGCCCTTAATCCGGCTCTGCGTGTGCGCCCTCAGCCCCCCGACATCATCCTGCTCTGCCCCATCTGTCCCAGCACCCCTGCCTGGGACTCACACCCCGCTTTTGCCCACAGCAAGCAGACGAGAGCCTGGACTTTGAGGAGCAGATCCTGGAAGCTGCCAAGTCCATAGCTGCAGCCACGAGTGCCCTGGTGAAGGCAGCCTCAGCAGCCCAGCGAGAATTAGTGGCTCAAGGAAAGGTAAGGCTGGAATAGGGAAAAATAGAAAAAAATGTGGGATTGTGGTGTGTTCTCCCTTCTCCCAGGGCTGCTTGCAGCCCTCGTGCCCTGTGGCAAGGGATGCACGGGGTGGTGAGGCTCACTCGTCCACTCCTTTCTTGCAGGTGGGCGCAATCCCCGCCAACGCAGTGGATGATGGACAGTGGTCCCAGGGACTCATTTCGGCCGTGAGTACCAAGGTCGTGCTCAAGGGGCAGGGGGAACCCTCCTCTTGGCTCCTGCTGCAATGGTGGGATTGCTCCGCCCTTGCACTTCTTGGTGGAAGAAGCATCCATGCTTCTTGCTGCCCCTCCCACCACCTGAGACATGGCATGGAAGCTGTTGCTGCCATCCCATGTTCCACCACGTCCTTGGGGCTCCCGTACCCCCCCCCAACAGCCTCTCTTGCCGCAGGCACGCCTGGGGGGCGCGCCGCACCCAACC